TTCGTTTTGCTGTGACATGTGTACTAAGTCATTCAGTCACCTGAGTACTCTGAAGGTACATCAGCGTGTACATAGTGGAGAGCGCCCGTTTTGCTGTGATGTGTGTACCAAGTCATTCAGGCAGCAGGGTAGTCTGAAGATACATCAACGCTTACATAGTGGAGAGCACCGGTTTTGCTGTGACTTGTGTACTAAGTCATTCAGTCACCTGAGTAGTCTGAAGGTACATCAACGCATACATAGTGGAGAGCGCCCATTTTGCTGTGACGTGTGTAATAAGTCATTCAGTGATCGGCGTTGTCTGAGGAAGCATCTGTGCATACATAGTGGGGAGCAAGCGTAGAGCTGTGTGGTGTGTAATAAGTTATTTACTCATCAGAGCCATCTGGAGACACATTAAGTGACACGTAGTGATTGCCGTATTAAATCATGAAGCAGTAGAGGTGCAGTATAGCTTGCTCTTCATGACACAGCTTTCTCTCTGTTGCATGCTGGGTTTTTGTAGAGTGCTACGAGTTATTGCAGGTGCTAACATTTCCAACTGACTAGGGAAATCAATTGCATCCCATGGTACAACAGGTCAGTGCATATCCGGATTGGTTTACTACTGATTGCTGATCCATACAAGCCTCTCTCTTGTTAGGAGTAAACAGATATGACATGATGTTCTCTCTAGTTATGTTGTTTTCTTCAACTGTTGAAGCTAGTAGTGCATAGTTAATGAAACTGACTGGCAACTTCTAAATGATTCTGCAGCATTATTTATCATGACCCCTTGAAGTTTGAAACATGTAGGGGAACCCCTTTTCACAGTAAAAGAATGGCGATACATTAGAATCGATATATATATGTTTCTTTACATTCATAGATGTTTTGTAGATCGCCCCATTTGTGATATCCTGAACTCACGTTTTGGTATTAGTGAGTATTGGTCACATGACCCACAGAGCTAAATGAAGCTTTGTCATCTTGAATTCCTACAGGCTGAAATGCACATAGATTTAAGTTTCAGTTCACTGGAGCGAAATGAAGATGAGAACGATTAAGTTCATGGAGTCTGCTCTTCCAATATATGGTTACAGTGATAAACTGAAGGGTGATAGGTGAAACACTGTATTCTCTTTTGTGGGAAAGTTTGAAGTCAAGCGATTTATGTTACCAAGAATAACTCTCCTCCCTGGACTAATGTGGATAATAGTCTCATAAGACATATAAGACATAAGAGATATCACTGGAGTGTAGTCAGTTTGTCAGTGAGTTAGTTAGATAACTGCTGGGATTCAGTTATGTGAGCTGTTGCTGAGGCCAGGGACAGTTCGGGAACCCAGAGGAAGGGGAGCATCCACCATTCGAAGTCGCTACTGAGCAACGGCTAGTGAAGACACAGCAGGCTGAGAAGACTTATGTGTGTGCTCTAGTGAACTGTAAAGTATGTGAACTAGTGAAACGGTTACAGTCACAGATCTTTAATTACCAATCCAAACCCCATCTATGGTCACTAAAATTGTGACAGTATATTATCGCGATCATCTCATAGAATGTTCGGCAATACGCCAAAATGATGGAATGTTTTTTGTTCTTTGTAATAAAGTACACATTCCTGCAGGGTGTGTAAAATAGTAATGGGAACGTTATGATGATTAGAGGTGGGTGCAGAACATATATGTAGCACAAGAAATAGTAACAACTATCATAGGTATGTACATAATTTAGAACTTCATAAGTGTAAACCATTAGTAATAGAAGGTTGTTTATTCTACACCATATTGCCCATCAACATAAAAGAAATTTATAATTACTCTTAAAAATTGAAGTTGCTATATGTTTAAGCTATCCTCAGGTAACTATCCAGGTTGTCATAATTGCTAACTGTGTTTTCAATACAATTAAGATGATTTATATTACTTCGATGTTTTCCATTTTTGTTTTGGTTTACGTTTCCATGCGCTGCCTTCCTGTTGCTGCCTCGGTGTTTCCTGTAATGTGTAATGATTTGGTGTATTAATGATTTTATTATTAATTAATATTGATAGTTGTTTAATTTACTTACGCGTGCCCTTTGTGTAGTTCGTATGGATGTCGGTGTGGTTTTGTTATCTTTTGTTCTGAAATATACAAAATATTATGTTATAATTCTGCGGGGTAGCGTTTTTTTTTTTTTACACTTTTGTGCCGCCACTGGTATGTCTGCGCTGTCATTGGGTACCGGGTTCACTTTCCCCCGTGCATAACTTTTTATTTTCCCATGCAACCTCGTGTAGTCTTGCATAATGAAGTTCAGAGATAACTACCTTTCAGTGTGTAAACTGCTTCGAAACAAGTTACAATAATTACTAATAACATTTTCATTTTCACACTTCGCTCCCTGCAGTCCAACAAACTGGCGGCAAAATTCTTTCCAGCGTGATCAACGCGAAAATATTAATGGTGAAAGAGTGCACATTGGATTTCCCTACGGTGTGAATTCATTCATGAATGGTCTCTTCTCTGTTCGGCTAATTATAATGCAGACTAGTTCTCACGTGCATAGCTTTACCTTTGGAACGTGCAATTTCTCCTGTTCACAGGTCTTCGTAGAAGCTTATCTCGTTGCCGATCCTTGTTCTGAAGAAGTGTGCATGATTTGGTTGGTGTGACTGGGTTCATCTTACTGCCAACCCTGAATACGTACAGATAATACTTAATTTTAAATTGCGTATATTTGTATCTGGGCTTCACGAAGTGGGTACAGATAGTAAAATACAGTACAACATGTGTGATAATAGAAAATAATTAAGTTATTGCTGAGGTAAGATTATAATAGGTTAGTACCGTAATATTAACGATCGGTAACTATGATTGTGTTTCATTTCATTTATTCAGCTTTCCATAAATCCTTACATGGTTTAACACCAATGGATATGGAAATAGTCAACATGAGTAAACCACATACTGCAACACAGCTGTGTAATGTCATACCAGTTAAATTTAATAATATACAACATGAAACAAAAACCATTATCGATAACAATAAGGAGCTATCAGCTACCACCTGTAACAAATCCGAAACTTTAATTGTTGTCGCAGTTAAAATATTCGTCCAATGAATAAAATTACTTTAAAAATAGGAATTTTTTAACAGGACCTAAATTTTTTAATCTCATGAGCTTGTTCTTTTATATTAGGTGAAAGTTTATTAAAAATTTTAATTCCAAAATAATATGTTCCCTTTTGAAAGACAGTTAAGTTACATGAGGGATAATGGAGGTTATTACTATGTTTTGTGTTGACTGTATGAATCTCAGAATTAGATAAAAATAGATATTTGTTTTTGACCACAAATACCAAAATGGAAAAAATAATAATCAATAATGTTGTCATACGGTTGGAAGTTTTTGGTTCATGACATAGCTTTATTGGTGTCCTGAACTTTGTTCCGTGAGAATATACTGTTATGTAAGCAATATGAATACTGTTTGTGAAATTAGTGTGAGGACTGACAAGATAATTGCAAAATACATGGGATTTCACAAGTTTTATATTAATTTCTTAGAAGAATACATCCTTAAAGTTTGCTGTTTTATTACAAATTATAGTTTACACAGTTCCTTTTGGTGGTTCAAATATAATTAGTGTTTTTTCTAATCTCGAAGTTTCTGATGTAATGCACATGCAACAGTTTATGTCATTCCATGTTTCACATTCAAATCCAACTCATTAAAAAGGTATTGAGGAGCGATGGTCTAGGGTGACTTAGTTGTAGTTCAGTGCAGTGAAGTTTGTAGCGATAGCACGGTCAGTAAATGTAAACATGTAGCTTAGTGACTTACTCAATGTAGAATCTTGTAATCCGGTGTTTTTTGTGATGTTTCAAAGGTAGTAGGTTCGGGTTATACCCAAGAGCTTGGAACATTGGTAACAAATTACCAGGCAGCATAGTGTCCTAGAAGATGGCAAGTTTCATAATGTCTGCTGCCGGAAGCCAGTATCCCACACACCTTTGTTGTCATAAGATACAACTGCATGCACTAATGATTATCAATATTTTCCCTTTCAGGACCTGGGAAATTATTTGAAATTAGAGTTTGATACATTTATCTGACTTCTAAATCCATATCAGTAGGATTGCTGTAACCTACTTCGTTCACAGTGCATGGAGTGTAATGTGTGAGGAAGGAATTCAAAGGTTGCAAAGAATTCTACATAGGAGAGTGCCAAGAGTTTTGCTACAGAGAGCTGAAGAAATATTTCCTTCACTGAGAGAAACCATGGTGAGTGTTTTGTGCTTGTTTGCACAGACAGAACATTTTTATCTTCATCCTTGGATAAACAGGTTCAAAGGAACCAAATATTTTGTGGCAAGATTGTTAATTTTCATAATCCATGTTGTCATTTATCTTATGGATGGTTGTAGGTATTAAAATGGTTTAACATACTGTGTACTAGAATGATAAATTGAAGAAAGGTGGTGTGGGCAAGTTATGTAGCATGAATGTGAGAAATGCATAGAAAGATCCAGATGTTACATCTGAAGGAAGGAGACCACTATGGAGAAACAGCAGGCTTTCACACTGTACGCATCTGTAGTTATTCAGAAACTGTCTTGGGAAGTATTGGTGGTTTATGTGTTGAACCTCATGTACTCCTCTCCCGAAGTTTCCTAGGCATTCCAGGCAGATACTTTTGTGGCAGTTCTTGGCAGTCGGATGGTCAAAAGAGCTGTCATTCACCAAGCACAAACATCACACCCAGTAAGCCTGGCTCAGTGATGATGTAATGGTGCTGAAATGTACATATGATGAGGGCCACCAGTCATTTCAAACTGCAAAGGACTTTTTTTTTCACTTATTGTCAAGCACACCACATCCTGCAAACAAGAATCATGGACAGTAGAACCACACTGGATACCTATATGTGAGAAGTGCATTATAATGTTATTGCTGTGAAGAGAAAAGCCTGGATTGATTTTTAGCTTCGAATGATAAACACAGTTCAATTAATATGATCATTAGGAAGTCTGTAACTTTCAACCTTTAACTTTTGATAGTGCTACCATGAATAGAAAGACAGCAAAGAAACTTGGTACATATAATATGCCTGAGGATGTAGCAGCAATCACATACCCATTGAAACATTTACTGCCGTTGCAATAATAAATCTGCAATGGACAAGTAGGAGATTGAAACACATTTTAAAGAATCGTGGTTGGAGGAAGCGGGCTGGATTTACTTCTCTTAGGGTACAGACACATATGAGAGGTGCTTGTGAACATGATAATGGACTTTGAGTTACATGAAAGGCAGACATCTTGTAGAACAGCTGAGTGACCACCAGGTTGTATAGAAGGGCTGTGTTCCATGGACTTAATAGTTTGTAATTATTTTGGAGTTCCAGAGAAGAAATCTGTAGAAGGTACATGTTGTTAGTTTGATACCATCAAAAAGGAAGGCATATCCTATTTCTAGCCCACTTCCTTATTTTGAAGAAACAAGAAAATATGAGAAGAATTAATCAGCTGCTAAGGTCCTTTGACATGAGAAGTACCCCATAGAGAACTATGCACTGAACAGTTCTTCTGTTGTATGTGTATTTGATGTTGTGGGAACGTTGACTCTTACAGTTAGTGTCCTCTCTTCAGACTGCTGCTCTCCTCACACTAGAAGTTCAAAATAGACAAATGTTTCTCTGTGTGACAAGGAGGAGGTGGTCTGCTGTTCTGCTGGGCCAGGGAGCCTATATATAAACGCTGATCCCTCATCTCATTAAAGAGGAGACTCCATTGTGTAGCAGTGATATGGGGGGAGACAAACACAAAGCAAGGGGAAGTTCTGTGGAAAATTAGTTCACTGCATTTTGAGTGTTTGAGATGATCTGGACCCTCAGGAATGCAGTGTGACTTGATGCTTGATATCTGGAATAGTGGAGTCAAAGAAAATGATGTTGATAGGCAATGGCTTGGTGAACAGGTTATATGCAGGCCACATAGAAAACACCGTGTCCAGCAGTTCTTCTCTTGTTGTATTGTATTCTTTGCTTTGGGAATGTGTTTACTGAGCTTTTGTGTAAATTCCTTGTTTCGTGATCACCTTGCTGTGTGTGTATCACTCCTTGACTCCAGATAGCCAGAAAAGTGGAGGTGGAAGAGACAGCCAATACAATACAGTGTAAATGTACGTGATGTGATATGATGCCCGTAAGTCATAATAGTGCAGCGAGATGAGTTCAAGATGGCAAATAGTGCAGGTGAGACTTCAAGTGGTGGTCCAGATGTTATAAAAAGAGCTGCAGCATTAACTGTAAAAGAATGTGAGAGTTGTGCAAGGCTGAAATTAGAATTGAATATTATTACATCTGAACTCGAATCTGCTATTGAAATCATTGGTATTCTAAAAGGAGAGCTTGGTATTACCGATATAGAGGATAAGAAGGATGATAAGAAAAACTCAACCATAGAACACAACAAAGGTTCTGAACTCGACATACTTCAAGGAGAAAGAAACGGGACTCTGGAGCGAGTGAATCAACATAAAGAGAAGATGGATAAGATAAGGGACTAGAGTGAAATACCCATGTGAATTTACAGTCGTTTGGATGCTCTGACTAACCTCAATGAAATAATGAAATCAACTGTTTTAGTAAATGAAAAGACTTCTAATTCTAGTGAAATACATAATAAGAAGACAAAGAAGAAGCCGTGTATATGTGGTGTTAACCGATGTTTTGGAGGAACGTATTTTTTCTTTTACCCTGAAGATTGAGGCGATACGTTCCTCCGAAACGTTGGTTAACACCACATATACATGGTGCCAAATCCCAGAAGACTGCTTTCTTCATAGTCACCGCCGTGAAAGCCTCAAATCTTACAAGAAGACAAAGATTCAATCTTGATATTAAGAAAAAAACCACTGCTGAAATATATACCAGTGATAGTGAATGGTGAAATAGTAAATAACAACCGTGATAACTTAGTGCAATACCCAGGCTTTGTTCATAATAGTCTAAACAAAATAAATAAATAATTATGATCAGGAAAGTATCTCCATTGTAACAGAAACTAAGTTCCTTGGTTTGATTATTGATGATGTACTTGTATTATCTTGGAAGGAGCATATTGACCTAGTGATCAGCAGATTATCCTCTGCGTGCTATGCATTCCAAAATATAAAACATATTGTATCATTTGCAACGTTAAGGCCAATCTACTTTGCTTGTGTACACTCCATTATGAGTTATGGCATGATATTCTGGGGTGGCTCCTCTCTTGCCAGGAAAGTGTTTATCTTGCAAAAGAAAATTATTATTTTCATAACAAACACTAAACCTAGAGATTCTTGCAGGGATATTTTAAAGAAATTGGAAATTATGGCGTTATATTCACAGTATATACATACTCATTACTTTTTACATAATTAATAATAAACATTTATTTAACTTTAATAATGAGATTCATGAATGTACAACTAGATCCCAAAGTAATTTACATGTACCTAGTGTGAATAGTTCAAAATTTGATAAAGGGTCTATATAACAGGCATTAAAGTGCTCAGTCTTCTTCCACAATCAATGAAGATGTTGGTCAGTGATGAGAAAACCTTTACATTTACATTAAAGAGGTCTTTATGTCATCATTCTTTTGTCTCTATAAACGAATACTTTCAATATAAAGAAGACAGAGGATTGTAATCCAGATATTATCTTGAATTGTTTGTTACGTTGATTTTACACATGATGAATTACCCACTGACTAGTAGCTCAGCATTTAAGGGTATAAATTTTATGGTAGTATGGTAATGTATCAGACCATCTGTTTTAAATAACATACGACTGTATACAATGAAGATGGTCATGAATGGTTTACTGACAGCTCATTTCTTATTATCTTGTAGAGGAATATGTTAATTAATAGTTTTCAAATTTTAAGGTTCTTGCTATGAGATGACTGATTGTATATACTGAATTCTTATTATGTATTCTAATTTTTAAATCCTGGTGAAATGTATTATATTTGGACTGTTAAATTATGTATTTGTAATTATGTGATGGAGATAATTGCATCAAACTTTTATATTATTAATAGGTCTTATATATTAATTTATGATTGTGACAGCGATAATCGTATATCTGCATAAATTTGATCATTTTTCAATATTTTATGTACAAATTATGTATTGTGCTGTATTGCATGTTGATGGGTCCATTGTTTTTATGTATGTGTTTATGTATTTTGACATGTTTTATATCCTATGGCATGCATGATCTGTGGAGTTTAAAATAAAGTGAAACTGAAAGACAAGCACCTCATTGATGGCCAATCTTAGGGAACAACTCAGTTATTAGGAGTTCAAACTCCTCAGTTTCTGTATGCTACAGCTGTCTTTTAACAATGGTTCTGACCAGAGAGTTGTCCTCTTCCGGACTGTAGAGAAAACTTTGCCTCCAATAGTTCATCTGTTGTAAGCCTACTTTCCTTGTGTGTCTGTGTGTATATCGTTCCTATCATTGGTAGGCGTCAGCTCTGTTGCTAGGTTAAAGCAACATCGGTAAACACATTCCTGTCACAGTGAACTCATCTGCAAGAATAGTATAGTTATTGGATGTGTTGTTTTTTATGTGGTTCATGTCACATCAGTGAAAAACGGGTGAAAATATCTTCCCAGAATTTCTTGTGTGGGATGTGAATGTGTAGCCATGATAGGTACAGCATTGTTTGTTTTCCAGAACCTTGCAGATTCAGTGGAAGCACGAAGTCTCTGTAGTGAGATACATGCAGCATCTTCTCATGATGCAAGTCAGGTCAACAGTGTAAAAGCTGAGGAAGTGTCAGATGCAGAAGAAGAGAAGTATCCTGTGCCAATAACATTTCAAAGAATAAAGGCTGAACCTGAGGTGAGCTGTGTCTCTGTGTCCATGTTAAGTGATTTTCAGAAATAAAGTATCCCCCGTTTTAAGAACACTTCATTTACCATGACCCGAGCAAAGTAAGGCAGGCGGCAAGTGTGTCTGGAAAGATGGAAATAATAGAAGGGTTTTGAGGAGGACAATATTATGGCATATTGATGTGTTGCTAGGCTATGATCTCAAAATAAGCAACTATTCAACAGCCATTACAAAGTAACAGCTCTGCAAACAAGTATGTTTCCACAGCAGCAGTTTCAGTGCAACCAAGGAACAGTGTTTCCCATGTGTTCCATGCTGAGATGTTATAAACAGGGTCAGTTAACTGTTGGAGTTAACCCTACTAGGAGGCGGGTTTGAGTACCTCCACCATATGTTATGTAAGGACTATAAGTGCAAATGTTCAGTTGGAAAAAGAAAATACTGGTCATGTCCGCAATTTTCCCATGTCGAATTCTTCATTAGTCACTTGTTTCGGTCCCTACGCCTTTTCTTCTTCGTTCTCAGACCGGCATTACTTCGGCGTCTTCTACAGGTACCTCTCGTAATTCTGCCGCCTCAGGTTTCCTGTTCGCTGAGGTCGGCTCTTCTTCTGAATGTGCCTCCATTTCTTGGCAGGCCATCGTCTCTCCGACTGGTAACACTATGGGGACCTCTTCTTGTGCCATCCTTGCTCTGATCGCTTCAATTTTATGTTGGAATGTCTCGTCCAACTCTGACGGCATAGATCGCATTTCCGCCTTGATTTCTTCCTTGTCTGCAACCGCCTTTTCTTAGTTGGCGTCTAATTTGGCCATTAAATCTTGTTTGTCTTTTCTTCTATTGGCCTCCGTCTTTTCTTGGTAGGGTTTCATGTTGGCGTCCATTCTTGCCAGCATTTCTTCTTTGTCGGTTTTTCTATCGGCCGACGCCTTTTCTTGGTAGGTGTGTAGTTTTGTCAGCATGATGTCTGTTTGTTTTTGGTTTAGGTCTAATCTTGCCAGGAAGTCTTCTCTGTCTTTTTTCCTACTTTCCTCCATCTCTTCCTTCTCTTTCCTCCTCTCTTCCTCCCTATCGACTTTCAGTCTGGCCGCCATTTGCTCCTGGGCGAACAACAGACGTTCCATCATCTTTTCCATGTCCATGTTGTAGCAGTAAAATACTCGATGCACAACAATCTGTTTGTGGCGTGTTCAAGTTCGTAAAACAATTCTGACACCAAATTGTCACGTGTCTTGAGTTCGAATCTCGTTGATCACGTGTGTAAGTCCAAATCCCACTTCTGACACCAGTTGTCACGATGTCACAATATCTTCCCAGAATTTCTTGTGTGGGATGTGAATGTGTAGCCGTGATAGGTACAGCATTGTTTGTTTTACAGAACCTTGCAGATTCAGTGGAAGCACGAAGTCTCTGTAGTGAGATACATCCGGCTTCTTCTCATGATGCAAGTCAGGTCAACAGTGTAAAAGCTGAGGAAGTGTCAGATGCAGAAGAAGAGAAGTGTCCTGTGCCAATAACATTTCAAAGAATAAAGGCTGAACCTGAGGTGAGCTGTGTCTCTGTGTCCATGTTAAGTGATTTTCAGAAATGAGGTATCCCCCATTTTAAGTACACTTCATTTACCATGACCCGAACAAAGTAAGGAAGGTGGTAAGTTTGTCTGGAAAGATGGAAATAATAGAAGGGATTTGAGGAGGACAATATTATGGCATATTGATGTGTTGCTGGGCTACGATCGCAAAATAAGCAACTATTCAACAGTCATTGCTAAGTAACAGCTCTGCAAACAAGTATGTTTCCACAGCAGCAGTTTCAGTGCAACCGAGGAACAGTGTTTCCCATGCGTTCCATGCTGAGATGTTATAAACAGGGTCAGTTAACTGTTGGAGTTAACCCTACGTGGAGGCGGGTTTGAGTACCTCCACCATATGTTATGTAAGGACTATAAGTGCAAATGTTCAGTTGGAAAAAGAAAATACTGGTCATGTTTCTCAAGGGACTTGTGCCAGGATGAACTGATTGGTGGTAAACCACCAGTCTTTAAATTGGCTCTAATTCTGACCCTTACTCTGACTGTGTTGGAGTTAGAGAGTGATTTAGAGGACTGTTGTGGTTCACTCATTGTTTGCTGTTGCTGTTAGACACTGGTAGCTGAGTACAAGGAGGGTTCAGGATCCCAGAGGAAAAGGTATGTCTGCTTTTGGAATCTGCTACCAAGCAGTGGCTAGTGAAGAAGTGACTCTGGACACTAGTGTGTAAGTCATAGTGAACTGTAAAATGTAGACATGTGCTGTACCAAAGAGTCCAATCCAGCCACCAATCTGAAACCCGTCTCTAGGTACACTCCATAAAAGTGTGACAATATGCATGATAATGAAGCTGCTTTATTTTGTTGGATCGGCTCATCATCATCATCAGTAATCTGTCAAGACGACAGGTCCACAGTCTCTTTCAAAACAATTCCTCCACTTAATGCGATCTAGAGCTTTCTCCTTCAAATGACAGTATCCTCTTCTGTCCCCAAGGTCATCCAGCATCTTCTTACGTCTTCTTCCTCGTCTTCTTGTCACTTCTATCCGCCCATCTATCTTTCCTTCGATAGCTTCTTTTAGAAGGCAGTTTCTGCGTAAAACATGACCAATTGGATCGGCTATGTGAGAATAATTGTATTTTAAAAGCATATGTTTTATTTCCCAATAAATATCCTAAACAGGTACAACTGTTTTTATTTTAATGCTTATTTGTGACTAAACATATGGTAAAGAATGGTGAGGGTCTTCTCTGGAACTCACACTTTGAACAGTTTTCATAGGGTGAATTGCCTTTGTGAAATGGGGGAGACCTGTTTTTCTTTCATATCTCATGTGTTGGTCTCTGCACAGGAAATAACTCTGCTGTGGTCCCTGGATTTTGAAGAGTATTTTCTGAAATGTGAGCATGATTGCTGTCTGTTGAATGTTGCTTGCGGTGTACCACTTCTGTTTTCTCTTAAGGAAATCTAATATACTTGAAATTCAATACAGCAAAACCTACCTTAAACAGACCCTTTATTAAACGGAATTTGTCTTAAACAGAAATATTTTCAGGTCCTGTGACTTTGGGGCTGAAGAATATGTTGCATATTAAAGGGAAATGGATATCATAATAAGCCTTTATAAGGAGAATTTCCAGGCTTCCGGAGTGCATTGTTTGGAAGAATTTTAGGCATCCTATACATCCTACAGAATTTTGTTTTCTCTAACTCCTTCAGTTCAATTTTTAACATTGCTACACTACCTGCACTGAAATTCAACTGAAGTATTTGCCCCTGTAATGGCGCAGGGGTTATGTACAAGTAGATATGTTTTTTTTTGGGTAAATTTGGAATAAGTATATCTAGACCTTTAGATTAAGAAACAGAAATGATGAAACATACCAGGAAGCTTGGGTTTGCAAAAGAAGTGTAACAGGCTATAGCTTAGTAATCAGAATGCTAGCACAACTGCATAATAACGCTGACATTGAGGAAGAAGCTATATGAAGTCGGTCATAAACACTATGTCAGGAGGAAAACACTGAGTCGGAGAAGGCGGTAGACCCAAAAGAGTCAACCCCTTCTCGATAAACAGCCATTGAGAGGGCCACACTGACCCGAATTCACGTCAGAATGGGCGAGCTAATACACCCCGGAACCCAACGAATCAACAAAAAGAGGGTACATAAACCCTAGTGGAATCAATCAAAAAACCTTTTGACTTTTGACTTTTTAATATTATGAAGTGACATAGAGTTCAGCCGGAGGCTGTCGCCGAGAGAGCGATGGCAATGAGTGGGCGTTGGTTGGTGATGGTGAGCATCTATTTCTTCAGCTCAAGTAAGTGAACCAACTTCATATAGCCGTGAACAATAAGTGTGATAATTTTAAAGTGCAACCCCAAAGAGAGAAAGTGCAAACTTGATGGACTAGGTTCTCTAAGAGATACAGAGGCGCAGAATACCCGACAGCGGGGTGACCGGAGATAGAACTAATGTGGTGCTACAGGGTCATCATCAAATGTAATACGAACCGACGAATATCTGCAACGTGTGTATATAGTATGTATATAGCGACATAATGAAATAGATAGGATAGGCATGAGCTGTGATATTAATTCAACCTAGCATTTCTTTAAGTGTTACCCCCTTCCCTGACGACTCCAGCCCCTCCCGAAGCTTCGGCGAATTGCGAGTTAAGCCAGGACTTGTGACATAATCAATGATACGTTTACTAAAGTTTTCTTGACATAACAAGATGGTGGCAGCATACTAAACCGGGTGACAGAGCGGGATACCCCCACGCCCCCTGTCACCACGGCGTAACAGTGGAAACAGCGGTGAGATAACCAACCCACCCCTATCATAAGGACGTAAGGGCATAACAGTGGTGTAGCAGCGGCGTAACAATGGTGGCAGTGGTGGGATACCTCCACGCCCCTGCCACCACGGCATAAAAGCCTCTTCCATGAATTTAACTCAGTAAGGGCTCTGGGCCTGCATTTTTACTTTAGTCTAGCAGTTGTCTTCATTGCTACAAAGACAGGAGTTGTGCTTGATCTTAACAGCAGAGTAAAAGTGATTCATGCGAGTGAGTGAGATAAATTGTCTGTTAAGCAAATCATGAAGATGTTTAACATCAGAAAAACTCAAGTGTATGAGATTCCAAAGAAGAAGACGGACATTTTGAAGGGGTGGGGAAATTGTACTAATGGAAAAATGGAAAGAGAACTGCAAATGAAGACATTAATGAAATAGTGTGGGAGTGGTTTGTCAGTGTCAGGGCTAGAAATCACCACGTGTCGGCTCCTATTGTACAGGAATATGCTAAAAATGATGCTCTAAAACTGGGGAAGGCTGAATTCAAAGCGTGTAACAGATGGTTGGAGAGTTTTCACAAGACGTCAGGTAGTATTTATGAACTTTGTGGTGAATCAGGTGATGTAAATAGTGAGACCATTGAGGAGTGGGTAGCTAAATTGCCATCCATAATGAACGGATTTGAACCTGAAAACATGGCAAATGGTGATGGAACTGGACTGTTCTTCCGCGAGCCACCGAATAAATCACCGTGTCTGAAAGGTGAATAATGTTCGGAAGGAAAACTGTGCAAAAAAGTCTCACTGTTTTTCTGTGAGGTTTTAAGTCGGGTGAAATGGAGAAACCCTTAGTGATTGG